GGACGTATCCTCATTGGCAACAACGCCAATTCCAGCCCATCTTCCAGCCACTGCATTATATACTTCATTCGTTTTATTGTTAGTATTATTAGTATTATCATAATCATCATCTCCATCAACATTGTCTTCATATTTCTATTCTTTATTATGTTCGTCGTAGTCATCATCATTATGGTCAGTCTTGTCGACAACAGCTTATTCAACACTTACCATCAAACAGTTCAAGTGTCGAAGAGGTTGGATTTTCTGGCATTTCCGCAAACTGGCCAGCCACAAATGGTTGCGCTTATCCTTTGTTGCCTTTTAATTTGTACTAAACCAAAGCAAGCCAGTCCCGAGAAGATGCTGGCCAATGTAGAGACGACAAGTTGCTTCGAAATGGTGCCCAATTTCCGGCCCTCCTGAACGCATTCCACACGTCGAGACGCCGTCTCGGAATGCGAACAATTGTCCCACTCGGACAAAGTGGACGAGGCATCAAGCCGTCTTGCAACTCCCTTTAATCCGTGCCCCCAGCGCATCGCTCGTCCCCTCTCTTTCTGTCCGCATGCGCCTACATGTCCATGGCACCCAGGACACACGAAGAGCCTGTTCGGCCGAGGGGAAAGTGTCGGTGTGTAGCAAGTTGTAGCGAGTAGAAGAGCGGCAACATCGAGAGGCATTTGGGAACTGTCTGGGAGGAAGAAGCCTACCCCGACGGATGGAGCCGGTTGTCGTGTTGACTGGCCAATTACTGTCCACTTTTAGGCCTAGTCGTCTTGTGTGTATGTGTATGTGTATGTGGTGTGTGTGTGTGTGTGTTTGTGTATGTCTACCTGAGCCTGGCAAGGCTGGCTCTGGGTTTGGTCGAGAATGCAACGGTGTCAAAAGTCCCGTTTGGCCATAAATAGGCGTTGACAGAGTTAAATGTGATTTAAAGCCAATCCGGTGGTCTCGACCAGACGATCGGAGTGGAGGGAAGACGCAAAAGTGGAGTCTGAAGACGACAAGTGGGCCGGACGGTAGAATGGGAAATGGGCGGGCCAAGGTGACGGAGGGAGAAAGGAGAACAAGAAGTGGCGGGAGGATGATAATGCTGACTATGCTGATCCTGATGATGCTGTTGTTATTGATGATAATGATGATGATGCCAATATTGAAGAAGAAGAAGAGGAAGAAGAATAAGAAGAAGAGTGGAGAGAGGCGATTGAACCTGTAGCCGGGGGAGGGGAGAGGGTGTGAAATGGGGATCGGGACCGTAAATTTAGGCCAGACCGTGTAGGTTAGTTGGCGTAGAGCGGATGAGTCTGGCAGATGACACGCTGGCCAGTAAATTTGTAGAAAGCAAGTGGTAAGTGCAGGGAATGGAAGAGGTGGAGACCGCGACGTTTCGCTGCCTCGTTGAGGGACTGTCTTACGAATGAAAGGCTCCTTTCAACGTACAGACAGACCCAGAAGGAATGGGAAAATAGAGGCGAACAGGCCGATGACCGGTTTGGGAGTGGACATGACATGAGCAAGCACATGCTAACGGAGCTAAAGAGAGAGAGAGAGAGAGAGAGAGAGGCACTGAGGTTGCCAGGAGGGAATGTACGAGGCATGGGCAGACCGATTTGCCTACCACGACGGGACGGCAACAAGACGGCGGCGAGACGAAAAGGGTGGTGCAAGATTGAGGCAAAAGTGTCTTCAAGGCAGCCGGGACGCGTATGCTCGCGCTGAGATGGCGGCGAATGTCGCTAGGCTCGTCTCCGTCTGTAGATGAGCCCTTCAAAAGGAGCTCATCTACAGACCATTTGGAGACACAACCAGGACTCTGGGCACATGCTTGTGCCACAATCATGCCTCGCAAGAGGCCTTCTCTGGCCGGATCTGAGCAGGCAGCCGCATTTTTGATGTTCAGAAAGCTCACGATGATGATGATGATGATGATGATAATACTTATCATGATCATATTCATTATGTTTCGAAACTATCCGTAAATCTTGATTAAAACATACAGTCATCCTAGGTAGCATAAGGTGATAAATAATAGACTAGAAAGAATGAATAAAAAAAAGAAAAAAGAAAGAAAGAATGAATGAACGAATGAATGAATAATTAAATGATTGAATGGTTAAATGATTAAATGATTGAATGCTTGAATGAACTAATGAACAAATGAATGAATGAATTAGTGAACGAGTGAATGAAATAAATAAATAAAGAATGAATGAGTGAGTGAGTGAAAAAAAAGAAAGAATGAATGAATGAATGAACGAACGGACGTATAAATGAATGAATAAATGGATGAGTGAACGAATGAATGTTTGATTGATTAAATGATTAAAAGGTTGAATGATTAAGTGATTGAATGCTTGGGTGAACGAATAAACGAATGAACGAATGAATGAATGAATAAATGGATGAGTGAACGAGTGAATGAAATAAATAAATAAAGAATGAATGAGTGAGTTAAAGAAAGAAAGAATTAATGAGTGAGGGAAAAAAAGAAAAAAAAACGAAAGAAAGAAAGAATGAGTGAACGAACGAACCTACGAATGAATGAATAAATGGATGAGTGAATGAATGAACGTTTGAATGATTGCATGATTGAATGGTTAAATGATTAAATGATTGAATGATTGAATGCTTGAATGAACTAATGAATGAATGAATTAGTGAACGAGTGAACTAAATAAATAAATAAAGAATGAATGAGTGAGTTAAGGAGTGAGTCAAAAAAGGAAAGGACGAAAGAAAGAATGAAAGAATGAACGAACAAACCTATGAATGAATGAATAAATGGATGAGTGAATGATGAAATGATTAAATGGTTGAATGATTGAATGAACGAACGAATCTATGAATGAATTATTGAACAAGTGAATGAAATAGATAAATAAAGAATGAATGAATGAGTGAAAGAAAGAAATAAAGAAAGAAAGATTGAATGAATAAGTGAATGAGTGAAGAAATTATAGAAAGAAAGAAAGAAAGAAAGTATGAATAAATAAGT